AAATGAAAGAAAATGTTGCAGAAAGCATGAATGACTCTATCTACCTGTGAACTCAGAAAGTACCCCTACATCCTACCACTTTACTTACAAGCTTTCTATTTGCATGTGTTTTAAGGTAAGTGAATAAGCTTTAATTTTGTGGGGTGTGCATGCTGCAGTAACCAGAAAGAACCGGTAAACTGTCATTATGGATCTGAACGTCTTATTTAATAAATCTATCTTTTAATCTTCTCCATGTAGAGATAGATGACTGCATCACTTTAGAAACAGAACCTGTTGCATACTACTGTCCTTTGTTATCTGTGGTGCATGTCAGACTAATTATGAGAATAAATTGTGCAGCCTGGTTTATTTTTAAAAAACTGGCCTGCAAGAAGAAAACGTGTCTTCCTTGCTGAATAATGCACAGCGTTAAAAAAAGAAATCCATATGATCCTTGTAGGAAAAATGGGTCCTTGTAACATTTAATTATTAGAAATTGCTGAGTAGAAAGGTTTTGTAATAATAGCCCTTCAGAGAAATACATAAGCATTTATCCTGTAAGGGAGAAGGCCTTTGGTTGTTTGGTTTGTAATTAAGGACGGTACAGCTCCTGCAGCTAAACAGCTCTCTCCTCCTCTTCCTCCTCCTCCTCCCCTCTTGTCGGGAGCAGTGTTCAGTGTAATCTCTGGCCTTAATAAACACATGAAGATACATGTGTGTGCACACACCAACACACACTGACACACACATATTCTCTGTGAAATCCCTTTAGCTGGAAGAGCACGCTGTCTTAACAGTGGAGGCCTTCACCACGCGCGGCAGTGGCTATATATAGAAGTCATCATAGTCGGCTTTCAGGCCCCCTCATCTATTTCCCCTCTTCTTCTTTTCTGTATTAACCGCACCACTGGTTTTCTTTTCCTAAAGTGCTTTCTAGCCGGACAGCCCATCCTCACTGCTGTCCTTGAAAAGGTTGCACACATGTTTCATTCTTCTCCATTTTGACTGTCTCCTGCAGAGAAATCGGCGAAGGGCGACGGCAGAAGAGACGGAGAGCGGGAGACAGTCCCTTCTGATTGAGAATGATTAAAAGCAGCGGGATGTCACACCCTGCTGGTGCTGATGACACGACAAAATTACAGTGTGTTAAAGACAGTAAGCTGAGGACGCCCGGAGCAGGAGGGAGAAAACGCTGGGAACGAAATTGCGATCCAAAATCATTTTTGACAAATTGATGTTGAGGTGAGCCTGAAATCCCACACGTCTTGCCGTCTCAAACCCAGCCACCCCCCCACCCCCCAGTTCAGTTGCCTCATTATACAGAGAGTGACCTCATTATTTCCTACAGAAACAAGCATTCCCTTTCACGACCCTTATATGAGGTGCCCCCAGGATCCCATTAAAGCGACGCTCTGTTTGAAGACCATTCAGAGACCGACACTGCTCCACTTGAATTGTTAATGTACCAACTGGTGGAGTGCAATGGCTCTGAGCTGCTTGTGGTGGTGTTGTTAAAGTTAATGTTTGATTATGGGCTCTCTGATTTGCCATCTGGACTGCATGGGAGGAGAAATTAGCACCGTTACAGAACTGTCACTTCCTATGCTCATCAACAGCTCTGGCTTTAGAAGATATTTGAGGTTTTTTTTAATAAGGTGCAAAGCAAAAAGTGAATTATCACTTCATTACAAATGTAGAGATCTGGTATTTCAGTGGAGACTGCAAAGTGTACGGTCTTTAATACCATGTAAAAAGTTTTATCAGACCAGCAACAGCCCTTTTTTATTAAAGAAAAGATACTAAATAAATAATAATTTAAAAAAAAGAGCTCTCACATTAACAGTCTGAGACTGAATGCTTCCAGCGAGGATGGAGGTTCCCTTCCACACCATACAGGAAATGAGTGTCTTTCCAGAAAATTACCTAGATTTGGATTAACTTGTGATATTTTCTTGAAAATGAAGTATTTAGCGCTGTCAACGTTAACGCGGAATGATCCGTCATCGAGATTAACACAATTAACCCATCTGGAGTGCAGAATGACTCAAAATCCCTGAAATGTCTCTGTCAACACATTTTGGGCAGTTTGTCCATTTTGCGCTCCAGTTAAAATTGGTAAAAATTTAATTACGTTAATCGTGATGACGCGTTAATGTTGACAGCACTAGAAGTATTGATGTAAATTACAGAAAGAATAATTTTAAAAATTCCTGGATCTGGACCAACCTCCTAAGTTAAGCTGGGCCAAGCCTTATACATTAACTCATGCAAATTCATCCTTAGGATAAACTGAAAAATCACATTTTCGTGGATTTTTGTTGGTTTGAGTCTTTTTTTCCTTCTTTTTCTAAGTTCTGCATCCTTGTAGAATGCAGAGGTTTCCACCTCTGTTGTGCATGCCTGTGAGGTAGCATAACATAAACAGCAAGGCAGGTGATAAGTAGACAGCATCAGCAAACTAGTCAAGTTTCTTTTAAGTATTCTTTATTTCTGGTATCTGCATTCTGCCATAAAACAACCAACCAGGTAGGCAATACACACACCTGAACCTCATTAGTCTCTACCATTGAAAAAATAGGTCAGACCAAACAATGCGATTCTAAACAAAGAACTGGAATATGATTATGCATCAAATTGACTCATTTACTCAGCTAAATGGTCTGAAAAGTAAAACACTGCATACAATACAACTCAAAAGGCTACATTAAAGAAAATAAACAATACTATACAAAATGAAAAACCCTTCATTTGGTTGCACCCAGTGATGCGATCGATGACCTCATGACCCTATATAAACAGGAAGTACTGGAGCAGCTCCTCCCACACACCTGTTTTAGATATATGACCTGACGAAATAGACAAGTATGGTAAGTATAACCAAAGCAGCATAAAGAAACATAATTTTCTAGACATTTGCCTGTGAACAGAAGAAAATTGAAGTGACCTGATGGTTAGTAGTAATTGCTTTAAAAACATGTGCGTGGGTGTAATGGATGTAACCACTGCTACCACAAACAAACCTGGTATAGTATGTTAAGCAAAGTTACACCAGCAATGTCTAAATCAAAGCATTATGGTCAACTGCAAAATAACAAGGAATAGATTATCAGTATGGTTAATATGGTTTTGGCAAAGGTCTGGTGTTCATGTTTTTAGCATGATTTGTGGTATTTCAATGAAATCTTTCTCTCTCTGACCTTATTAAGCACTACCTCACCTGAGGTCAAAGTGCCAAAGCTACAGTTCGCCAAATAACGTGTGAAGATGCGTAATGGTTGCTGACACAGAATCTGCTAAATGGACCTCTTGATCATGTCTGTGGTGCTTTTGGAGCAGTGTTGCTTTAATTATCTGATTATTACTAAACTATAATGTAACTTTCCGTGTGGAGTTTGTTCTCCCTGTGCCTCTGTAGGTCCTCTTCAGGTAGTCATCCTTCCACACACATGCATGTTAAATAAACTGGTGGTTTCTAATTGGTGATAGGTGTAAATGCTTGTCCATCTCCTTGTGTTACTCTGCAAAAGACTGGTGAGCTGTAAAGGGTGTACCCTACCTGTCAAGCAATGACAGCAGGGTCAAAGCTCATCCCATCTTGGCTGACGTGGCGAATATTAATGCAGTGATATTCCTTTGGTAAACATCTTGTGGAAGCCTTAGATTTAGCACCGTCATTCTTTCCTATCATGAAAGTTAACTTTAGATTAACATTAGCTGTGTTACACTGGCAGTGATAGATTACCATCAAGTTACAGAAATCCTATGTGCACGCTGCAGGCTCGTGGTTTGTTTTTCCTGTTTTGTTGCTGCTTTTTGCCAGATTGTAATTATAATTTGTATAACGAAAGTTGACTTCAGTTTCTTGTGGTAACATAAAACAGCATTACTGACATCTACATAAAGATACTGAATACAAAATACCTCTAATTAACAGCAGTACAACAACACACATGTGGCTAAATATACTTCGGGGAAGCTGAGGAAACTTGTACTAATTAGGAGCTGGAGTGTTATCATTTAGTTTTTACTCACTGATGAACAAAATGTAAATATTTCATTATAGTTCTTTTCTTGAAATCCTCCCCCCCC